TAAATTTTTAATTCAACGAGGTAGTCTTTCAAATCAGCAAAAGGAAATTTAAATTATTAAGCAAATTTTATACGAATCTTCATACGTCTAAATTTAATTGAAATGTTTTTAATGCATGAAAAATTTACCTTCAAACAAAAAGGCAAATGAAGTGTTATAAAGTACAATTTATCGGCGATTTTAAAATTTCTTATTCACTTTAAACTGAAATTTAGTGTTAAAAGTAACGAAATTGCAGAAACTTTTATGTTTTCCTAAAGCTGAAATGTTTATCTTAAATATATTGTATCCGCTAGATTCATATGACTGAAACTGTATTTTGAAATTTTATTTGTTTATTTTAAAAGAGTACTAAAACAGTATGTATTTAATAATAAATGTATCTTATTTCGTTATATTACAATAGAGTACGAAATTCAATTTTTAATGTTGATGCCAATGTTATTATATTGATGTATTTGAATTGTAATGAGCCTTGGATATTAGTTTAAAACCCTCTTGTGTACACAATTCGCCACTAAAAATTTTCCTAAATAATTTTTTTTAAAATGAATACATGCTTATCCCTCTTGTTTATTTAGTAGTAAGCCAAAGAATACCGTACAATTTTAAAATCTTTTCAAAATTGTCTAAGATACTAATTTTAAATGAGTTGTCAAATTATGAGAATTCAAAATTTTCTTAATTTATTAATCAGCTCTTCGTCTTAAATCTTAACAAAAGTTTTGTTTCCTGGATTTCTCAATTTTCCGATATATTTTAATTATAANATTTCAAATTTGGATTTCTACTGGACGTAGAAAATTTATTAAACAAGGATAATGCTGATAACGACCTTGAAAAAAATTTTTAAAAATTTGGGTGAATTTTATAATACAGATTTCAATGTAATAGAACTTTTTATCAAAATATGTGTCAGCAAAATGTTACTCCTTAGTAGAAAAGAAATTGAACCCAAAACTCCATTAGAATTTCTAACTTTTATAATCAATCTCGAATGGAAAAGATGTTCTTCCAAATCTGAGAGCGGCATTTCAAATACTCCTGACTATCTCAGTATCAATAGCTAGCTGCGAACGTTCATTCGGCAAGTTAAAAATAATTTTGACAGATCGCCTAAGTGACCTAGCATTTTTAAGTGTAGAAAGAGAACATTTTTAAATGATCAATTTTGATGATATTATTGATATATTTGCTTCATCAAAAGCATGGAAAATTTAGACATAGTAATTAGTTTTATTAATGTATTATAATCATATGATTATTAAATATATGTATCTCCTTAGAGATAATAAATATTTACTTTTTTATTGTTCCAAAACTGCATGTTTTTAAAACATTTCTTTATAAATATGTAAATTAAATAATAGGTATCTTTTGAACTAATTCTAGATGATCATATACATTTCAAAATCTAGTCTTGTTCTCTCAACTACATTTTTTGTCTCAAATTTAAAGCCCAGCTTGAGTCTATGACTTTATTTGTTTTACTTTATTTATTTATTAATTTGCGAGTATCTTTTACATATAATATTATATGGTTTTCGAATGGGGGGGGGGGCGNCTCAACAGCAACACTACCACATGCACAAAAGCCTGGTCATTCTAGAAAGAAAAAAGATCCTAAGTACAACCAATATATCAATGAATCTGCCTCTTCTGCTTTGAAGACGATGGGCATTGGCTATGAGTTGATTTTGCATCATTCCGTTGAAGATGAAGAATACATACTTCACTGCCCAACTACTGATAACGTTCCAATGCAATCATCTCCGTCTACTTCATAATGTTCCTCTATTTTATTTCATAGAACTGTCGTGGGTTACGAACTAAACTATCAAATTTAAAATATATTATTTCTAAATATCAACCTGCATGTGTTGCTTTGCAGGAAACCCATTTAAAATCATCTGCTGCTTTAAAATTACGAAATTATTCCTGCTCCTGACATGACTTTGATGATGGAAATCATCCTCATGACGGTGTTGCAATTTTAATTCGTCACACATTCGCCCATTTCATACTCGCATGCGCTCACTTATTTGTGCGCTCGCACATTCGATATTTGTGAATTACCTTTGCAATCAGTGGATCACTTTCTCATACCACCATGAACCATTTCACCATATCAATTTATTTACCTTTTCAATTCATACAATCAAACCAACGCTGCACCCTGCATTTTTCATAAACTTTTCACTGCACATCATCACCAATATTCTCAATATGTACCGATTTTTACAGACGGTTCAAAATCTGCCGGATATGTATGCTGCGGTGTCGTCATCGCTGATGATACATTTAGCTATAAAATCCCAGATATTTGTTCCGTCTTCACTGCTGAAGCTGTTGCTATTTTTATGGCAGTATGACCAATTTCCTCGCGCTCTACTCTGAAGTATTGCCTATACTCCGATAGTATGAGCGTTTTGAGCAAACTAGAAAAGTTTTACTATGATACTCATCCAATTTCATGTTTTATTATTCATTTGTCAATGACTCTTCAAAAGAATGGCTTTGAGATTTTATTCTGCTGGGTACCGAGTCATGTTGGTATTCCAGAGAATGAACTAGCTGACACAGCTGCACGATCTGCCTTAACATTGTCTATACCTTTCTCTGACATGAAACTACATGTTCGTAAATTTGTAATATTATTATGGCAACAATAATGGGACCTCTAAGTTTTTAATAAATTGCATAGCATTAAATCAGATTTAGACAATTTGCCAGTGCTGCGCTTGCGTAGTGCTGACGTAAAGCTAACCCGCGTCCGAATCGGTCACACCCGGTTATCACTCCTCCATTTACTGTTTGGGGAGCCTCCTCCTTAATGCAGTACTTGTAGCATTCCTCTCACAATTCATCATATTTTAATAACGTGTCCATGTTTTAACCAACATCGTTTAACGTCTTTTGGGAGTTTTATATTATGAATTTAAGATTTGTTGGATGACGTTCATCCTCCTAACACTTTTGCGTATTTACGTGTCATTGGTATTTTTAACCGTATATAAATGTTGTAACAAATCTACAACTTTATACACTTTTATAGACATCCTATCACCTTCGTACTATTTTACTTCGTGAGTTTTATAACTGTACTCATACTTTTAATCTGGTTTTATTCACTTACTATATAGCAATGCTTTATCAGTTATAACTGTGCCACAATAAAAATTTTGCATGCACTTAGGCTTTGAGCTGTTTTGCCGTATTGTTTGCAGCAGCATGTCCTCAATTGGACCTTGTGCCACTAAACCCCACACTCAATGAATCATAAAGCAGGCATCCATAACTTACTATTGGTCTTAAAATCACATTGTAAATGAGAAGTTTCTTTTTGACACTTAATTTTGATTCTTTTTTTTAAAAAAAGATATAAAACTGTCCTTTGATGGCTTTAAATTTTTTAGTTATGTTTAAAATATGTTTTTTTCTCAAAGTGTTGTCAAAGGAAGAATTTTGCTAATAAGCACCATCTATTGGCCAAGTCGATTGCAAATATCATTAGACATGAAAAGTCAGAACTGTTTCAACAACGCACGTTAAGAAAACAAATATTTGTTAGGATGCACTACTGCACCCGAAAAAAAAAATAAATAAAAAATATTGAAAAAGAACGTATGTGTAAAAAGGCCTTTATTGTATTACCCCACCTCTTTTATTAATTGATTTCAGATACATTGACTTGCCTATTAATTAAAATTTCTTGGGGGATATTTTAAATAGATTTTTAAAGTTTTAACCTCAGAAATTTTTTTTCAAACAAAAAATTGTCATAATGTGTTAAACTTTCAAAAAAATAACCATATTTCTCCTCGGGAGTATATTGGGCCTAAATCACATTTTTTATCTCTTTTAGCGAAATCAGTTAATGACTTTGAAAGTTGTGCTAAATTTCAGTTTCTTGCAACGTTAAGATCACGCCAAAGGTAGAGGGTGGAAAAAAATAATAAAAATTAATAAATAAACTGACCTCCCTGAATAACTAATGATCGGATCTTCATGTTCTAGAACTTAATCTTAATGATTCGAAGGGTGACCTCAAATATCATTAATTAGAGCAGACAATACTTTGATTTACGAAATCATACACAAAAACGCACTTTCTCTGAACAAACATAACTTTTTTTTCAACTGATTCGAATTTCTTACCTCCAAAATATAGAGGTTAGCCGCAATCTGGGAAATATGGTCCCAATAGTTCGGTCAGGAGAGCGGTCACAAGTTTGGACCCCTTAATGTAAATTTTATTTTTTGCGTATTTCGAAATATCTTAAGAATTTCTTTTTAAGCGAATTGAAAAAATTTTCACACAATTATAAAATTCATTTATGCAAAGATAATTGTTTGCTAAAAATAAATTTTATTAAATATTTATTACTTTAATTAATAGTCGAAATTTTTTTTTAATTGTCAGGTATACAATTTTTTTCATCATTTTAAAGAATGTAATTTTACATGACAAATTGAGCGAAATCAGTCAGTTACTGAGAAACCGAAATTCTCAGAAAGGCGTGTTTTTGAAATTTGATTAATTTTTATTAATATTTTTATAAACTAATTTATAAAATTTTATTATATTGATGTATTTGATTAAGAAAATTATGGTATAGGCGGTGGTGAGAGATCTTAGTGATTATCCAAAGAGATAAAAACAGACAATATAAATCATACATTTTTGATTATTTTTTTGTACCATGTAATTGTTATGATATGATGAATACAAGAAGGAACAAATGTTAACAATAAAATCAAATAACATTTGATTTTTATTATTTGTATCCATTTTTCGATATTCCTTAAAAAAAATAATAATTTAGTTTTTATTTAATTCAGCATTTGAACCATATACTTTCTTTAAATAATAATGAAAACAAGTTCATTACCTGTCTCACAAGCAACCAGTGGCCTGTGAGGTGAACCACTGCAGTAAGTAAAGTCATATAATATTTGCAAATGAGATTGTTAATAAGTAAATAAAGAGAGCTGCAATGTAACAATAGAAAAATTTATTAACAACAAAATTTTTCACAATACAAAAAGACTTCAAGAACACAAACCCCAAGTACATTATAAAAATTTAGAGATTCAAAATATTTATGACTTATTATCAAGTTGATTTAACAAAACTAGTTCAAAAATTTTAACATTTTACAAATTTGTCCTCACCTTTTCGATGGGATTTGTAAAGTAATATTTGGCCATATTCTAATTGTGCGCTGACTTGAAATAAATTTCAAGTTTAGGAGACTTTCAAACTTCTAGTGTTTACATCATTAAATATAATAAACCTCATTTAACAACAATATATGACTGAAGTGCAGGCTTAATGATACTTTTTTTAACAGATTCTATAAATATAACCGAAAAACTTTTGAATTTTATTATAAGACTTTTTTTCTAAATATAACAGAAATGAAAAATTCAGAATATAATATAGGTCATCTTAAAAAAAATTATAATCAATGGCTTCAAAAACAATTTATGAAATTAATTAATTGAACTGTATTATGTGTTAGCATTTTGTAAGGAAAAATTTAAAAAAAAAACACAGAAAAAAGTTTATTGTTAGGATGAAATTGTTAAATAAGACTAACTATAACTTCAAAATGCACTTCAGCTTACTAAAATAGTCATATGAATCATAATTTGACAAACTTACAGTAGAAAACTGAACATTTATAAAATGTCTTTCACCTGAATAAAAAATAATGCATAGGTTGTAAAACAAATTTCAATAAATTTTTATTTTTTTAATTAGTCTATAATTGAATAAATACTATATAATTAATGCTGTAATCAAAAGGTTATTCAGCAGTTCAGTTAGTAACCTAGCTATTATAAAACCATTACTGAAATAAATTTCACTACTACAGTCAAACCTTAAAAACTCAAACATTAATGTTACTAATTGCATGATGTCAAAGAACCTTTCATTCTTTCTAATCTATCAAGAAAAAGAAAATTTATTAACTTCTTATCGCTAAAACTTTTAATATTTTCTCGTCTTATCTCAATATAATTTTTAATTGCAGTTTTATTTGCTATCTTTTATCCCCAATTAATTGTCATAAAGATATAAAAAAAAAAATTAAATGTTACAACTTGCTGATAAATTTAAACTTCTATTGCATAATTCCCAACCCCTCAACCCATTTCAACTGTTTTCTTACTATTTCACCTCATGTAGTAATAAAATATAATTCAAAAACTGTATATATAATCATTGGAAATACAAGATACCATAGAAAGAGAATGATACTGTCATGCACAGATTTTTTGACAATAAATTGATTGAATTATGCAAAACATACCAGATGAGAAAATTAGAGCTACATATTTTCATTGAGAAATCAGATTTTAGAATTGGAAAAATAAAAAACTTTTTCTTTAAAATTTTAACGTTTCTCTTTCCTATTGCACAAAATTCAATGAATAACTCCAATTACATAGTAAATCAAAACCTCCCAGCTCCTTTCAAGTTTGAGATATCAAGGTTTGACTGCAAGTATTTTAAAAAAATTCATTGATTCTAATGAATAAAATTTCATTTACTACTTTTATAAATTATTTTTTGAAAGGTTTCTTAATTATTTTAGCACATGTCAAAATGAAGCATTACTGCTGCAATCTTTACACAATTTAAAATTCATTAGTTTTCTAAAAGAGAGTCTTAAATGAAGCTGATATCAAAATACTTTAAAATTATATTTAATTTCTTTCTATGGCAATTTCATAAAAGAGCTTTCCTACTAAAGAGGGTTTGAAAAAAAGAATTTATTAAAACCAGTAAATAAACATATTTCTTATGGTTTTTTTTTTTTTTTGATTAGTCATATTATATTGGAATTTTATCAAGAGAAAACTACAGTAAAAATATTTCACACATAATTAACAATATTTAATATAATAAGGATATTTATATGTAACCAAAAAATATTACTCTCAAAATAAAAATTTTGTAATCACAATAATTTACAATAACACTGAAATAAGTGTTACCAGCTCTGACAACATTTAGATATTCAACATTAAAATCTTCTAAACTACTTGAGACAAAACATACAGAAGCAATAAGCACATTTTAGAGAAAAAAAGTTATAACAAAACATCTAAAACAAAAATTTGAATCTCTGCTTTAAAAGCAAAGCTAAAGATGATAAATAAAAATAGAATTTCTAAATTAAATATTATAAGTGTCTTACATTCAATGACACAGTGAATAAAATTTGAAAAATATTATAAATACAAGTTTTACATAGTAAAACTTTAGAAAACAGTTATAATTATTGATATAAACAAATTGTGAAAAGATATTTTATTAAATCCATTACTCAAATCCATAATATCAATTTTCATATGATGATGTATAAAAACCAAGAATTGACACACAATCACATTAAGATCATTATTTAAAAATCTTTGACAAATTATTTTATCAGAGAAAAGAATTCAGAATTAAATAAATGTTTAACAAAATAACAACTTGTTTAGCAAGAAACTTAAATAAAATGTATTTTCTAAAAAAGAATGTGCATCTGAAATAATGTAAAACATAACCAACCTAGAAAAACTACAGAAAGAAATTTTTCAGATAAAATAGTGACAGTTATCAAAATAATTTCTGAGTATTAAACAATAGAAATTTTTCTACAAAAGTAAATATATGTTTAATAAGCTGCTTTCCCACTATAAAAAATTCCTTTTCATAAAAATCATTTTATGTACAAATTTAATTCCTAATGAAGTTTTAATTTTCCAGTTATATTTAAGATCTCTTACATGTTTGGAGAAGTCAGAAAACGGTAGGTATGCACATAATGCTTAAAAAAAAGTATAATTTTTTTAAGATTAAAAATGTCAACACTTAGAATTTAAATTTAAAGGAAGTTTTTAAAAGTTTCAATGAAATTAAAGAGCATCTTCTAAAATTTCTGAAGAGTAAAATGCAATTTGAAACCATTTTGCATGTTATTTAATTTAAAGAATGACATTTGTTTAATTTGCTACAGTCAAAACATAGAAATAAAGTTACTGTATTGGCATTTTTCCATTGCAGAATTGAGAGGAACACGAATTTATTACAACTATTTAGTCACAATGATTATAAAATGAAGAATATTTGACACACATCCTGATGTTTTCTACAGTTAATAATTCATTTGTAAGGATATTTTAATTCAATGAAACATTATAGAAAAATAAACCTGTAAACATTCTTGAAATATTTGAAAATGAATTTAACTATCAATACATGAAAAAAAGCCATTATATGACCATTAAATAGCACCAACAAATACAAAGATTAATAGAAAGCAACAGTTTCATGGCACACATTAAAAAGTCAAGAAACTCTTCCAAGAATGAAATAACTTTCTAGTGACTAGACAAATTTTACACATTTTGTACCACAGATAAATGTAAAATTGAGACTAAAAAGTTGTAATAATTAAAATTTTAAGTAAAAAAATAGGCTTATTAATACTTTAAAAGTTACACCTGGAACAGATGACCTAAACATATTATAAAAGCTTCATCTAAACACTTATCTATCATTCAATTAGTCCACAAATTTTATCAGTTGTTAATAAGCTCAAACTTTTCTATCACAATCCAAACGATTTTCATTTACCAACGCATTTACTTTTTTTTATACGAACAATTCATACATTGTTCACTTATCTCACAGTTTAATTCATTCAAATTGAGTTCAGAAACATCAGTTAAAAGAATTAGTTCATAGGAATAAAAAAAAACTTTAAAACAAATCTGAAAAATTATACAAAAATTTATCTGAGCATTTTTTTCCTCTTTGACTCAAATAAATAACTAAAATTTATATTAAAATAGCAAATTTCATATTACAATAAGTGCTTTTGAACAGAAAAGTAAATAAGTGCCTTGATAGTTTAAAATAAAAATAACTAATTGCAAGTCGTATTCCAAATTTGGAAAACATTTTACAATTAGGCTTATACTTCATAGGTACTTCAATTATAACATGAAATGCTTAAAGTTAAAATTTTTTATAATTCAAATTAATTAAACAGACTCTCCCTTAAGAGACGTTTTTGGCAAAACTGCAATTCAAGAAATATTACTAGATTAATTGGAAGGTGATTTTTTAAAGGAAAAAAAAATTATGGCAATTTTTGAGAGCGTGTAAAAAAATATCAATCCCAAAATAAAATTTTCTAATGTTTACAGCAGTTTAAACATGAAAAATATAGTGAATTCACTCAAAATGTAATCCCAAAAACAAAACATTCAATAATGTGTGCTGTATTTGATGTAACACATAAATATTTAACATGAAAAAATTACCAGGTTTTATCTAAAGATCTTTTAACATTTTTTAACAATAATTACTTCAATTAAACTTAATTTCAACAAAGCATACGCATTACATTATTTTTCAACATTCAACAATGAAAATCTACTTATCTTAATGAAACCATACATATATCAATAAGCCATGCAAATCAAACATTGCTGTGAGGCATGATATACATAAGACGATACAAACGTCCTTAATGGAGTATGAAGATAAATTTTTTCACAATTCTCATCGGTTACAAAAGGTTGCATTTATATGAAGAAGACATCAGGAATGAACGCAGAAGTCACAGAAGATGCAACCCTCGAAAATGGTACACATCCATAGCTCAGTTCCATAGTAAATTACAGCTTTTGTTTTGTACCAGCACCTAAAATTTATGTAAATTATTTGTAACTTATTTCAAGAAAGGGAACTGGAATATAAAAAATTATGCAACAAAATCGCTAAAAAAATACATATTTGAAATGCATTAAGTTTTGATAATTTTAAGACAGATAATTAGTATTGCAGTCTAGATTTAATTAATCCTGAATGATATTATATCCACGTGATTGATGATTTAATTCAAGATAAATTCCTCTTAGAAAAAACAAGATCATTCTAATAAATTACTTCCATGACTCAGGAAAAGATTATTATTTCCATAACTAAGAATGGATTATTTACAGCATTTATTTAATATTTGACTTGATGTCACAGCTATAGATTCAACTATTAAATTACTGTAACATTCAACAAACGCAAACTAAGAAAATTTGAGAAAAAAAAAATTCCATAAAGTAATTTAACATATTTACTATTTTTGAAACAGTAATAAGAATTTGATGCAGAACTAAAAACAATACGGGTTTAACAACAGAGCCTAAACTACATATACATTAACTACATATACATTTTTAAACATGAATGTCTATCATGTGATTCAAAAATAAATTAAGTTTAAGAACTCATTTTTGTACAGAAAAATGTTATTTTGCCATCAAAAGGAAAAATTTTGAACAGAAGATAGAATAGGTGCCAATTTTTAAAGGCCTTAAATCAAATTTGAAAATATTATATTAACTTCTCAGATGTGTAACTAAAAAAAGGTCAAATAAATTTGAAACATGATAAACATTTGCTTAACTATTAATAATGAATGCTATAGTGGTCATCCAAAAATTCATACCCTTAACTATCATTAAGTTCCCAGCCAAAAATATCTTCAAAATGGCCTTGATGACAAAAGTTCCCCAGTATTCAAACGTCTTCTAGGAAGTTCGCCAAACATTTCAGTTCCATCACGCACACTACAAGCCAATGCACGAATGCTAGCTGCTATGTCAATTGGGACTTTTGGTGGGGATTCCTACAATAAAGAGATGAATGAGACAAAGATAACTTATTAGCATAAACAAAAAATTTGGTATTTCTTAATCGGCAGCCTTATTGACGATAGATGGAGTAAAAATATCATCAGTTTGTAACATTAATAAACTTCATAAAAACCTATCAATGATTTAAAATCCGAATCAAAGTTGACCAATTTACTAAAATATCAAGTTTCAATATAAGCTGAAGAAGCTTGAGAACAAAGGTTTAATTACAAATACTGCCTGCGACAAGTATTTTTCCGTTGTAATTTCCAAAAAAACACTTTTTCATTTATATAAACTGGTAGAAAAATAGAAGATATTTTCAATAATTCTCCATGATTAAGGATAATAAAAAGAATAAATATTATCAATACATTTTAATTTTAAATTGACAGATCTTAAACACATAAAAAAAATTCTTCTCCAGGACAAATTTTATTAATCTTTATGATGCAAAAATTTTAAGAAATCGCACAAAATTTAACTTAACTCTGCACTTTTTCAATTTTTTTAAAACTATCAATTTAACAGCAACAATATTTATGATACATCACAACAAATATATAGTTCATAAGCTGAATTGTACATTAGGCAAAAATTAATACCTTTTCTTCCTCATCGTCTATAGGTGGGTGTCGTGTAAGTTTAGTAAATGCTGGAATAGACATGGGAAGAGAATTTCCATAAATGGATCGTTCTTCTCCTTTCTTTTGAAAATCAGATGTACTTTCACTTTCTGAATCTGCTATGGAAAAAAAAAAGCCTATGAGTTTTGAAGTTAATCAGATTAATTAATAACAACTTAAGTGAAGGAAAAATATATAAATTACTAATTTACAAACAAGCAAATTGATAAATCTTGATATATTTTAAAGCTATTTATTATTCAAGAATTAAGTGTTAAGAATTAAGTCTGATAAAAAATCAAAAATAGAGAATTTAAGTTTGGTTTTAAAAGCATTCACTCGAATGCATACGTATTGGGGTGAAATCTCGACGCATCCTGGAAAGCATATGTTCAAATAGAAATAGTAAATGAAAAATAAACATAAAAATTTCATATAAAATTAACTTAAGTGAAAACTACAATAAATGAAACAAGTTTTTCAAGGAGAAACAAATTTGACAGATTTCCTAAAATGACAAATTACTAGAAATACAAATTTTTTTAAATTCTAACATAGAAACAGATGACAAAATAATGTGAAGCATTGGCTACTAAAGAAATTAATGAAAAATAATATATTGATGTGCAATTTATGATTAATCTGTTAACTATCACAGAAACTTGAAATGCCACATTTAATAAAAGCGATACAATTTCATTTCTTCATTATATTTTAAAGTTAAAACTATTAATATAGACTTATTACAATAGTACTAAAGAAAGTTACAGCTAAAGAAAAAGACTAGAAACAAATTTAAAAGTAATAAAACATATAATCTGAATGGATAGCAACAGGTTCATGTTGCAATCAAATAAAAAAATATTTATTTAACCAAAATAATCTAGTTAATTGAAAATAAATTAAGTCTATCTCAACTTTGTACCAAGAGTTAAAATATGTGCCAAACTGAAGCATGTCACAGAAACATAATAAAGTTAAGTTACTAATAACATTAATATATTGATTACCTTCACTGTCTCCATCAGATACACCAGAAAATGATTCCTCCTTTGTTTCAAATTCTTCCATATCAAAAACACCTTTGTATTAAAAAAAAGAAAAGAAATCAAGTGAATCTTTTTTTATGTAAAAAATATAATGAAAAATAATTTTAATTGCAATAAAGGAAAAGCATACATAAAAAGAGCTTGTTGAAACTTTGAGAAATTTAGTCATACTAATATAGCATTAATATATATTAACAATAATATAATTTCGTCATAATAATAACAGTTAAAGCATAAGATTTCTCAGTGAAATTAAAAATCATATCTTTTAAGATATCTGAGAATAATTTAAATCTGAAATATGGTAACTTCAGCCTTTAGAATTTTTATTGAAGATATTTTTCAGTGCTATTAAACTAACTAAAGCATTAATTTTTTTAAGAAATTAAGAATTTTTTAAAATTTTTTATAGCATTTCAAGACATCACTAATCAATTGTCTGACTTCAACATGTTTAAATTGTTTATATGAAAAGTTGGTCAAAATTCTTTCAAATAATTATAATTTCAACAATCAGCTAAAATAAATAAGCATCAGTTTAAACTGATGAAATTGATCTTACATTCAACACATAAATGTTATTGCATATGGAAACATGAAGGCACAACAAAAATAAAAAATAAATTATTTTCATGAATTTTAAACAATAATTTAAACTTAAATTATAAGTTTAGAACAGTTTCATTAAATGATTACATTATCATTGACACTGATTTAATGAATAATGATATTGATTTTTATGTTTCAAAATTTACTCCTTGAAACCTTTATGTTATATCTAAAAAATTTTAAAAGCATAACATAAAAAGAAAAAATAAAGAACAAGATTTTAAAACACTTTATTCTCTACAGATACCCTATTTATTGCAACTATGCTTTATTATTTATAATTCCATGGTCTTCATATCATATTTCAAGTTCTTGCAATAAAAGGCAAATGACATTTTCATGTTAAAATAACAAGTAACAGGAAAATAACAAGTTGAATCTCCTGAATGCTTCCTTCAGTCACTCTGGTTTTATTCCCACATTTTTCAACCAAATAATAATCCTTGGTATAAATTAATAAACTTTGTAAATTATTGAATGTGTAAGTAAAATCAACTGATTTAACCCATATAACATTTTTTTCTAAAAAGTATTAGCTCAAGAGAAGAGAAAATTGATCACTAAAAAGTTTGAAGGATTTACTTAGCAATTATTAAATAAATCTAAAAAAGTAGTGTTTCTAATAAATAATTGTACATGAAAAATGAAAAAAAAATTTTTTTTTTAAACTTAAAATATGAACCAATGAAGAATGTTCACAGAAAAAATATATAACTAAGCAGTAACCTTACCACCAACATCAATACTAGCAGGAGCTCGTTTTAGCTCACGCTTTCCTTTTGTCCTTGAGCGAGATGGATTCTAAAAGAAAGGAAGAAAAACTTACATACTTTTCTAAGATCAAAATACATTTCTTTACATACAAACAAATATGTTCTATTAATTAATTGCAGAAAAACAAACAAATTAAAAAAAATTGAGTAGAAAATCATTCAATTATGAAAGAATATGCTTCATAAATTTTTACTTACAGATACAGTTCTCCTAAGAGATCGGACTCTCTGTTGTTTGACAATTTCCTCAGTAGGAATCTCAGATGTTTCACTTCTGTCAAATGCAGAATCTGTAGAAGCAGATGATTCATTGGCTAATATAAAAATTTAATAGAATTTAATAATATATATTGTTGATGAAATATTTATGATATTCAATATAACAATAACAATGGCAAGAAAAATAATCACCAGAATCTCTGTTTAAAGCAGATGAAGAACCCAATGAATTTTCACCTGAACCTTCGTCATGACTATTTCCACTCTCTTTACATTTAAGCATCAAGTACACCATAGCTTGCTTATGCTTTCTTACTTGTTGTAATAAGTTGTTGTATTTCAATTGTTGTTCATCATTATATTGACTAAAAGATTTCAAATAAAATTGTACTTTAATAATTACATAAGAATCTATAGGCTAAAACTACCATAGATCTAAAAACATAATATTCACCGTATACGAATTTCCATAGCTCTTTGTTCCTCTTTTAAATAATTGGAAACTTGACTCTGAACAACTTCTATGGAACTTCCAATGTTTCCATTATGGAATTCAACACCTGACAAAATGCAAATTAGTATTAAGATATTTTATTCCTTTTCCGCTTTATTTTATATACCGGATAATTGAAGTGATATGACAAAGAAAAACGAAAAAGAAAGAAGTGCTAACAACAGTAATATATAATCTACAATATATAATCTACAATATATAAAATTAACAGAGTAGGAAATTCAAAGGAGAAAGTGTACAAAATAAAAATTCAGGGCAAAAATACAAATTATGTTCATATTTTGAGAGTATAAGTGATGCATCTATAATATATTTTGCATCTATCAATAATTTGGAATAATTTATGCTTCGGTACATAAAAAAATTTAGTTTAAAAACTTTTTGTAAAACTTCTGTCACCACCTTTTGATTACAAATATCCAGGCAGAGTAACATGTCCATGCCCTTTCGCATTGTGAATAAGTCTAAATGCTTTTGTATTTTTCAATTTAGCTTGAGTCTTTCAACAAGTTTTAAAATTTAAGATAATTAAACTCATTTGCGTTGAAAACCAAATTTCAATTTTAAAATCTAAAAATACCACATTCTATATTTAATAATTTAACTAAACAATTAAATAATGACTTAAGTTCTCAAGTTAAAATTAAATTGTAGTAACATGATTTTTAAACACTTTGTGTTCACATTTTTTTTAGTACAGTCATTTTATAAATCTTATAGTTATTTTACACCTATATGAGTGATTTGTCTGGTACCTATAACGATATACCTTCCTAACGATAACTATCTTTAATACTGTAGATTCTAGCTTTCATTGGATATGAAAAGATAATGAGAAAATTCACAATTTTAAATAAGGACAACCTTGTTTAGTCTTGTTAAAACAATATATATATATATATATATATATTTGAAGAACCTACGACCTGAAAAAACATTTAATTTATTTACATAACATTTATTTAGTTCAGTAAATTGAACTTAAATATTTACAATGGTATGTACTATTCTTCAGAATAAAACAATTTTTTGCATTATGTCTTTCAATCATAACCTAAAATGATAACTTAGCATGCATATTTATAACACTTACAGCATATTTTTTAATTATAATTTAAAAAGGTAATCTAAAGAAAAGATCTTGCAGTTTTATAATTGACAAGGAGATAACTTCATAAGAATTAAAGAAAATTTGGAGACAATGGACAATGAAAGGTGGATAGTCTCATAACTTTTATTTTTCTAGAAAATATGTGCCTTGATTTTTGCTGATCTCCAAAGCAAAGAAAATGGCCTAATATGCTTTGTTACCTAAAAAGCTCTGCAAGTTGGTGTTGAAAAAAATATTTAAGATGTTAAGAGAATGCCCTTTCAAAACTCAAAGTGTCCTTTTTCAGAGAGGAAGCACACTGTTCTTATTTATTCCTAGGGAGAACTCTGCTATATTTAAAAAATTTTATAATTGCTACAAATTGATATCTTAATAAAGCTGGGTACAAGTTCAATAGATACAATTACTACTTTTGGTAGTATTTTATCCATTACATAGATTGGTAATAAAGATAAACTAAATGTAAAAATAAAATGCTTACCAATATTTTGAATGAAATTATCATTTATTTCTGGTAAAATCAGTTTGAATAATGAAGAATATTTCACAGACTCCATTAAGGATGATATATGAACAGGATCAGTCTACACAATAAGAATGAACAACAAGAACATAAATTGCTTGAAATTAAAATAACTTAAAAAAAAAAGCATGAGTACAAGTAAACATAGTTTAAATCTAAAAAGTAGCAAATAAATCAAACAGTCTATAAACTAAACAAAAGCTAATAAATATAAGTTATTTTTACCTACAAAAACATGACCAGGCTCAAAAAATAGCTTGGGTTTTTTGAAAGGAAATTTAAGAAATTAGAGGACAAATTAAGAAAATTTAACATAATCAATGCATAGTCATTTCCATACAGATAGGAAATTTATTTTCCTACATCAAATGCATGTTGAATTGCTGCTTTATGCCTCTGACAGTGTTTAACTATTAAATTTTTAGAGTAATAAAATTTTACAAAATTATTAGTTGTATATAAGGCAAACTAGGCTACATGGCAAAATAACCCATGTTATTTACTAGAGTTTTAAATAGAATTTCAAAGTTTATATAATCTTTTAGAATAATTTATTTTTAGTTGGAACTAAACATGCACTATTATATCTAAGTTTTGTGTATTTTTTTCTCAACCAGGTTAATTTGCATTACATTTCTTTTCCTATTAATATATTTTTTATATTGGCATTTTTTTTAACATTAACATATTTTTTTACTATTAATATATTTTTTTTAATATTAATATATTTTTTAAACATAAATCTTTAATATTATTCTATTTTAGTTAATAGTTCTGGTTTAAAGTGACTAGAAATAGAGAAAAATATATACTTTTAGAAGAACGAGAGTTAGACTGGGAGCCTTATGCAAAATTTGCATTTGACTCTAATAAAAACTAGACTTTAAATTTTTTGGTAAAATAGAACATTCAAAAATTCAAATGAAAACAAATACAAAAACAACTGTTTCTTTCAATGTTTTTGGTAAAAATATTTTATAAATTCACTTTACAATTACATAAAAAAAAAATTTATAGCATCATAATTAAACTTTTTAAATACATTTAAATTAACAAATCACACATAATAATAATCAAAACTACCAATAATATAATGCAATCATAATTAGAAATAGCACACTAACTTGTCTAAATGCAATAGATAAATTACACACAAAAGAAATAAATCCCTTAGAAAATATGACAAAGAAAAGTTTGAGTGAAATTAAACAAATTATTTTCTAAAAAAACTGTTTATCTGTCATCTTTGATTTGCTTCAGAAATACAAAGACTCTTGAAACAATAAGTATAAATTAACAAAAAAAAAAAACCCAAGTAATGAAATTCACATAAAAGATAGGATCCTTTATTGAGACACAAATAGTGTAACAGGAAAAAGACTCTTGAAACAATAAGTATAAATTAACAAAAAAAAAAAAAACCCAAGTAATGAAATTCACATAAAAGATAGGATCCTTTATTGAGACACAAATAGTGTAACAGGAAAAATAAGAACATAAACACAGTAAACAAGACTTAAATTTAAAAGTGAGAATGCTTAACACACCTCACTCACATACTGAGAAATAAGAAATTAAGAAGATAACAGTTGGTTATATTGTATTTTAAAGAATGTATAAAATTTTAAAATGTGCATCAAAATATAGATACAATACCTGAGCTTGCATGCTGACATATACTTTATCATTATCATATGCATGCTTGGCAAATACATCCATCATACAACAAACACATGTGGTTATAGACCAATCATCCACAAGCCTTTCCTTGCACAATCGCTGTTGAGACTGAAATCATAAAAGAAAAAAGTTAATTGAAACTCATTTAATTTGTTTAAAAAATGTACCTAGTTTTAATCAAAATACTTTTCATGATTTTTGAGAATCGTGGTATATCTTTAAGGACAAGGGTTTTTGTTCTTTAATAAAACAAAGGTCAACCTCTCGAGACCTCAGCTTTGAATAATCACAGAAAATTTGATTTTTACTAAGTAATATGTAGCTTAGAAGAAATGAAATTCATAAATAAAATAAATATATATTTTTTTTTAAAAAAATTATCAATTTTAAAATTTTACTACTTTTTTTAATTATTTGATTCACTTTTTATTTAAGCATTTTTTGTACATGTTGTAGGATACTTTTATAGTGCATTTCTTCAAATTTTGATCTAGCTAGTAGATCAAAAATTTTCATCTATTAGCTAGACTCAAATAGTGAGATATTTATCTAGCCTAAAACTGTCTTGAAGGTAAATCAAACTTCTCACCTAGGGGTCCAAAACCTTTTTAAGTGAAGGGTACAACAGTTTGACAAATGCCCACGTAATTAGACACGTTGACTGCAATTGTGATAATTTATGCATAAACTTCATTGTTTTGAATACCAAATTCTTTTTATCGGTCTACTTCCTAATATATAAACAAAAAATAAATGCTTTTGAATATTAAAATTCATTCAAACCTAAAGAACATAAAAGTGATACTTTTTCAAAAATAAAAAAAAATTACTTGGAGTCAAATTGAAAAGATATAAAGATGAGGAAAAAGTAATTTTTTTTATTTTATCACATCACACGATGTAAAGGCTTATTTAAAAATAAACTGTGATGTCTGTAGAATAAAAGTAAAACAAATAAATATTTTATTGAGCAATGTTAATGCAAATTAAATATTTTAATTTAAGAAATTTTAGGGTTGTCTAAAATAATTTAAAATAAAACATATTAAGCTCAAAATAAGTTGGGAACAGTTTTAACTTCAAGATATTTATATTTAGTGAATTATTAGAGATATTATGAAAATTAAAACTTCAGTTTTTTAAGCCACAAAAAAATTAGAAAAAATGATAAAGAAACAGTAAAGTTTTTTCCCCCATGTTCAAATTTTATGTGTTGCAATAATATTGTATTAAAAATTATTTAATTATTTTTAATTATTGCAAAAAAAATGATAAATTCTTTACTTAAGCTTTTTTTAAATATTGTAGGATATGATTATAGTGTATTCCATAAAACTGAACAAAGTTCAATCAAACTTCTAACCTTTCTTATAATTTTTCAGAGTAATTAACTAAAAATTCTAACCAACAAAAATAAAATCAATCACTTTGTCAATCAATTATTGCACTAAGAAGAAAAAATTTTTATGTTTTAACTTGCTGAATAAAATTAAATAATTTTTCCAAAATATTATAAATCCTTTAAAAAGTATTTTAGTAAATATAAAAAACTATTTCTTCTTACATATAATTCGATAATTAAACAGGGATGTAACATGCATTTCGCCGAGCCGATGTTTCCTTACTATATTTTAATATTCTTTCTCGCATACTGGTTGGGGTATAAACTTAGAAAAAAAAATTAACGTCTTTTGGAACAACATAAAAATTTAAGGTGCAAAAGAAAGAGAGAAAAGATTCGATACATAACTTAAATTTAATTTTAAGAATCACTCTAACCAAATCAAATGATAAATTAATTAATTTCACAATTTGATTTCTAAAAATATTCATTGTAAATTTTTTTAGAAAGATGGCTTTATTCTTATTTTCATGGACACAGGTGGTAATTTACATTTATAATAAAAGATACAACGAAAATTAATAATAAAAACTCGGTGATTTTTATATCAAAGCCAACTCAATTCAATTTTTAATTTATGTAAAGCCAAAATGTTTTAGATAAAGATAGTTAAAAAATTGTAGCTGGTTTTACTTAAACCTTGACTTTAAAAAAAATACCCATATACTTAGAGCAGAATAATAAATTTGTTAACAGATATTACTAATAACTTATGCAAGATAAAATCTGGTAACAAAATAATGCCTGGTACTTGTGAAGCCTTAATAAAACAAAAACAAAGAAAAATATTGAAACCAGATGATAAAAAAAAGAAGATTCTGAATTTGTTTTATTAGAAAAAAAATTATAAATTAGCTAAGAAAGTTTATTTCCAAGGGGAAAAAAACATAAAAGTACAGTAATTAGAACAGAAATGTAACTAATTAGATAAGTATACATGCAAAAGTTTATTATATTTACCATGGTAACTCCAGCTAAGTCCAAAGTACAGACATAAATCTTTGATGAGAAGAATGAATCAGTTTGAACATTTTTCGGAACACCGGCATCTGAGGGATCTTGTAAATTTAAAGCACTCCCTCTAGTATGCACACGAACATTCAAACAAGAGCAAGTTAACATAATCATGATCACAGATAATCCTAGAAAAGAAGTTCATAATTAAAACAGCTATTTTAAGTTATTGATTAACTCTCTGAGAGTTGAGCCCCTAGATCAGTGTGCAGGGGTATGTTCAGACATTTCGTGAAAGGTCCGGTTTCTGTAAAATTGCGAAAAAATTACTCGCAACTTGTGAATATAAAATAAACGTCAAGTCACATTCTTTCAACCAGGGTCCTGCTTTTATGAATTCGTGCAAATAGGGTCCGGTTATTGCAAAAAAAATTTCAAGGAGTTTTTAAATTTTAAATAGATCATCATTATGCTCAGCACTGCAAAATTATAATTAAAAAAAATTAAATTTTCAAAAATGAACAGCAATTGCTGCTTTTAAATTAGAGATGCAAGATACAAATATTTGGTATTTAGTCTTTACTGCTGAACGCAGAATATTCATTTCAGACGAATAAGGGAAGAAGTGTCCTCCGAAGACAAAACTCAATTTGTTTACATCCATCTTTCTTATCCCCCCCCGGGAAGGGTTTATTCGATAAACAAGTCCGATTAAAAGAAAATTCATTATGTGAAGCGACCGTTTATAAGTTGAAATATATTATTAGGAATTAATACAGTTGAAATATATTATTATAAATATATTATTATAATTACAGTTGAATATATTATTATAAATATATTATTATTAATACAGTTGAAATATATTATTATAAATATATTATAGGGAAGAAGTGTCTGCCGAAGACAAAACTCAATTTGTTTACATCCATCTTTCTTATCCCCCCTCCCCCACGGGAAGGGTTAATTCGATTAACAAAACAATAATGAAGATAAACAAATTTGTGAAGGGTCCGATTAAAAGAAAAATCATTTTGTGAAGTGACCATTTATAAGTTGAAATATATTGTGAAGGGCCCGTTTTTATGAAAAGATATTTTGTGAAAGGTCCGATTTCTTCTAAACAGACCCCTGGTGTGTATTTCATTTTCTCAATAATACACTATTTTCATATATGAAAAATATGTTGCAGTAGAGTGGCCAGCTGAATTGGGGAAAGATTGTGGATCAAACACTCACTGAGTAAACAGAAGAATACCATATTGCAGTAAAACAAAATAATGATTAAATGATCCACTCTTAAAATTTAAAGTAAAACATAACTTAATGACTAATTAATTGAATAGAATATTTTGTAAAACACCTTTGAATGATTTTAATTTTCAAAAATTCACTAGAGGTAACTTAACATTTTATTCCCCAAATGTTAAGTGTGGAACAAAAATGACACTTAACACTTAAATTTTTTTTTAACTGGCATGCTCTAGAATTGTATACAAATTATAGTAAACTGTGACACTGCTTGGAGGGTTAATCAGAGAAATAAAAAATAAAACTCAATTTCAAAACAGAGTCATCCTATTATGTATTTAAAAAAGCTGATTTAAATAAAAAATAAATTGTATACTTTGGAAGGCAATTTAAAGTTCTGATTTTTAAAAAAAGGAACACCTCAATTACACTTTCATTACTTAATTGCTAATATTAATAATAGTACTTTTACTACTTAATAGTAGCAATTTTAAAATGGACATCCTGGAAATTTTAAAAAAAATATATCTTGATTTATAGAAAACTTGAATAGATTTAACAAACAGACCTTTTGGATTCATTGAAGAAATTGTATGCAAAAAATTAGTTTGATTAGAAAATTCTCAAAAACTACCAAATTTAGAATAAAGAAAAATTCATGTGACCTTGTAAAGTATTGTTTGCCACATTTTTTATGGCATTTTTCATGTCACCAATTTAATTTTAACAAAAACATATATTGATATTTTAGAATTATTCCCTCAACCAGCAAAGCTTGTGAAAATGCACAAATCCCTCAGCGCCATCAAAATGAAAAGCAATTTCCAAAATAAACATTCTAAACACATTAAAATTATCAAATAATCATAATAATAAACAGGGTAATTGTGAGCCTAAGTAAAAAATCCTGAAAATTTCTTGAGTAAAATCATTAATGACGCATTTCAAAAATTTAATGTTTTTATAAATTTAAATCATTTATATTTTCAAAACATGAAATTCTAAATAAATTATATGCAACATAATTTAAATAAATAATTATGTATGAGTTTACTTCCATCTTTCACACTTATTATTCAACTAGAAAAAATATTTAAAAATGAAAGAGATGCCAAGTATAAATTCTAGTTCTAATATTTTTAAATAAAATATGCAAGAATTTTTATGATTTGTTTAAACTTCTGAACCTTGAATTTCCGGATCACAATTAGTGAAAAATCCGGAAATCAGGATTTTTTCCGCAGCACAATCCTCTCTGAATAAAATAATAATAACAAAGCAAATTTATATGTAAAAATACCTCATAATAAGTGTAATAAAAAGAATCAAAATAAAGTAAAAACCTCTATTATTTTCTATAATTGCACATTAAATTATTTTTGTATCTAACCATATATATTATTATAAATCATTTCGGCAACCAAATATCCTTGATAGCTTTTAAAGTGCAAACAAGTTCTTATGATTGTGCAAAGTAAAAAAACAAACAGACTATTTCAACATGCTATAGAAAACTAACTCGAATAGTTAAGGATTACACAGTAAACATTGGCACAGAGGCTACCTTTTTGCGATAATATCGGGTTAAACAGGTCAACGGAATAATCCAAGAGTACTGATTTTTTTTATTTCATATTTGCATTATTTATTGTGTGATTCATTTGATTCAACATTTTTTTTATTGCTTTAACTATTGTAAACTAGTTTTTCTCATGAAATTAATCTATCCTAATAATAATAAATGTAATGAAATAAATGAATCTAAATGTATTATCTTAAAATACATAGGTTGGTTTTGAATTTTTGAAAAACATGTTTGTTACCCTGAATGAAAGCACCATCATATTCTCATTAAATCAGTTAAGAAATAAAATAAAATGTACCTTAATTTTGAGCTTTAATTAATTACCCCAACTTTGTTGGTAAGGCATTTCAAAACGCTTTGTCAAATATATTTCTAGTTAGTAAATGATATTGAGTTTAGAACTTATGTACTTATAACTGTTTACTTTCTTTTCATAAAACTTAGAAAAGAATAAGATTTCCATATCAAATATAATATTTGTAACATATATTATTTCAACAGGGGATTCTGGATAAAATAAGTAAAGGTATTATAGACTTAAAAATTTTAAACTGGAATCACTTAGCAGGAAAATTTGAGGATTAAAACTAGGATTATTATTATACATGTAAAACCGTAATATACAGCAAAATCGAATATTTTAATTACATTCATCAAAAAATAGGTTTCATTTTCTTTTAGTAAATATAAACCTTGCATTATACAGTGAATTATTAACTGGCTGGAAATTTTATATATTAAAAACAAAATAAAATTTAGATATGATAGCTCTGCTGAACTTACATCTGATTTCCATCATCACCAATTTTACTCTTCATTCTGAATTATTTAACAATATGTTACTTTTATCTAATGTCATTCATTCGAACAAAATATGCAATTGATCGCCAAGTTATTTTTTAATGAGAGACAAATAAAGCAGCAATAACAATCAGTGATGCAAAAAGCCTGTTTCCTTTGTTTACAAAAAACCCTAATCAATTGGGTTCCTAATTTTACTGGGTATTTAAAGGGTTTTTTCTCTTCTAAACTCTTAGAGTAAGTCTTGCTGCATTAACAAATACCAGTAATTTAATTAATAGCTTAATACATAAGTAAGCCTTTAAAATTATTATACAATTCATTATCAATGTTATTTACATAACAATATAATATATACATGTTATTTACATAACATTATGTAAAATACATTGATAGTTAGAACACTATTTTACAGTTATGAAAAATTACTGAATTTTCAAATGCTCAAATTAAGTAATAATTCATTTTAATTCAAATTAAAGACATCAACTTCAAAGTCAATTTTCAATCTAAGATAAATTTTGTTTTAAAAAGCAAATAAATTAGAAAAAATTCAGATAGCTATAAAAAATTAAAATGTTACAGATCAGTAAAAACAAGCTTATGCAATTACTAATTTAATAATTACAATCAAGAAATTTATGCATAAAAGTATCCTTTAAAAAATAATTATACATGTTTATTATACAGAAACAGTTTTGGAAATATTTAATAAATTAAAATAATTATTTACATATTTATTACATTGAGTAGTGCAACAGTCTATGTTGTATCTTAAAATAGTACAATGTTGTACCTTGTTATAACAGCAAATCAATTGTATTGCGAATCAGTATCTTAAAATAATTTGGAGAGAATTACATAAATGGCATTTTTTAGTTAAAAAGAACCTCAAAAGAATCTTTTTCTGTATAAAGAATGAAAAAGACTTTAATAATGACTATAAATGGGATTTTAGAAGGACTTCATAAAAAAACAAATGTAATGACATTCTTACAAAAATTCATCAACTTAAATATAACTATGTTGATCAAGGAGCAAAAATTAACAAAATCAAATTGCATTTAGAATTTTCCGTAAATTATCCACAATAAAAACAAAAATTTATAAACAAGTTTGATCACATCACATCAGACGGCAAAGTAAACTTTTAAGAAGCAGTTATGTTATTATATTCAGATCTATTATAGGATAAAAATTTGATTAAATCAGTTTGAAAAACAAAAAATACTTACAGAACAATAATTCACTCAAAAAGCTAATGAAGTGTATCAAAGCAGATTGAATGATTGATTATTTAACTAGTAAAATACTAAACTTGACTAGGCAACCTCGAACTTCACGTGTTGCTACAGTATTAGAGACACAATAACATGTATAAGCACAATCATCTCATCTCTGACACTCAAAGCAATGATTTTTGGTCACTGAGATGCAGCTCACTGATTGGAGCGAACCTAGACCAAAGACTGACTGAGAGCTTCTGTGACAATCTAATCATGCCAATTCTGCATGGAAATCGCCAAATAATCGCCAATGTTTTCCTTTGTTTTATTAATTGAAAAGACATTTAGAATCGCCGCGATACAACAGATAAAATTATCTTTCCTTAAATTTTACGAAATTTAAGAAGTATTTTTTTGTTTAATTAATAAACGAAATAAATATGAGGGAAAACAAGCTCGAAACTATTAATTAATTTTTTTNACAAATATTTCTTGTTTTTAATATAAATACCTATAAATATTGTCTAATGAAATAGTTTAATAATTATATACTTTAAATTTCTTTAAAAAAATTAACAAAATATTTAACTAATTTAAAATTAATTTTAAACTAAACTAATTTTAACAGTTACCTGCATTAAAAAAAAGGTAAACAAAGGGGTGTGGTCAAAACTGAAATGGTCATAACTTCATCAATTTTGCTTTTATTCCAGAATTTTTTTTTTTTAAATGTTCAGTTAAATGCCAAGACTTCAGAAATATAAAATGTAAAATATCGATTTTTTGACAAATTTTTGCTTCTTTGAAAGTCCCTTGTCACCTTAATTGAAAAGACATTTAGAATCGCCGCGATACAACATATAAAATTATCTTTCCTTAAATTTTACGAAATTTAAGAAGTATTTTTTTATTTAATTAATAAACGAAACAAATATGAGGGAAAACAAGCTCGAAACTATTAATAATTTTTTTTATTTAAAAAATATATATTTTAAACTTCTGCGCAGAGATTGAAGATATTCTTTCTTATTCCTCTATGACAATTTTTGAGACAACAGTTTTCTGATTTCATACACTTTTGAAATAGCCAGACGGTTTTCGTTTCTTCCCCCCTCCCAAACTTTAACATTTGCTTCAGTTTTTATTCTGAAATGTTACTGAGCGGTTGCTTTTTAAAAATAATTTTATTTCCTATTCACATGGTTTCTATATTTTATCGTTTTATTTATTTATTTTGAATTTTTCATTTTCCTAAAAATTCATCAATGATTCTAGAATATTTTTTTCCCCTTAATTTTTCTCCGGTTTGGTTATTTGTCTCAGCAAGCTTTAAAAATTAATGAATTATAACTGTTTTTAAATGACATTTAAATAATTTATTTATTTTGATTAACAGTTCATAACATTAAAATGAAATACATTATTTTAAAATTAATATTAAATTACGAAAAGGATTAAATTACGTCTGCTCAAATTAATTAGCATATCCCCAGGGTTTAGTCCCTTGAACTATTAAAATATCTTAAGTGAAAATGAGATTAAATGTTGTTACAATTTTCCGATTTCTATTTTGAACACTGTTCATGCAATCGATCAGTTATATCAAATGTCTGGAAAATTTTCTAAACATCAACATGATTTAAGTCATAAGTTAACTCATAAAAAATAACACAATTTCACACCTAATGAGACAATTAAAATTTAAAAAAAATTCAGTTTCAAGACATAAAAAAAAAAAAAACATTTTTTTTCAAAATAAATATCATTTCTCAAACTAAAAGTAGAAAAAAAACGGAGACAATTTGCATAGTTCATTTTTTTACATTAAAAACAAGTATTTACTGTCAGATCACTAATCAAAATTATTTAATTGTATTCAACTTCTGCAAGTTAGTATTAATTTTATTCACCGATTGTCAAAATATACTGATTTAACGGAAGCAACATTGAAACCTTTATGACTTGACTGCAAACTTTCAGAAATTCTTGATTATTTTGGTTTTTTCTTCTTTTTTTTATTAGTTTAAATTAGTCCAGTCCATTTTTCTTTACGGTTCGGTAAATGTAATTACTAACTTCCACGAATTAAACTGCTTAACTTCAACGAACTAATTGTTTGAGTGTAGCGTTATTTGCAGAGGTTGTTAACCATATTAATAAAAGGACATTTTTGATTCCGGTTATGTAATTCCAATGAGTAAAACGATTCTTCTAAGTATGTGAGGCGACCACCATACATAAATCTTCCTAATTCACCCTGGACTGTGGTGTATGTCCTTTTCTATCATGGTTAGCTCATCTGACTACCACCTCAGAGGTTCTTTGTTTGATTCCTGCTGACAGCTAACAAACATTTATTTACACATGCAACGGTCAACTCATGTTACCAATTGCGCTCAGTCAGATCCTAATATTATTATATGGACGAACCTGTGGCGTAATTTATTTTCATGCATTAAATACTCTTGGCTTGACTCCTGAAACTTTTATTTTAGTATCGCTTTTAGTTTTTGTGCTGTTTTTTAAATACTGTCCAGAAAAAATAACAAATAGCAAGTAAATATTAGCTTTTTCTTATAAAAAAAAGGTTATATACTAATGGGTTAAATGCCTTTTAGGAAAGAATTGACTGAGTTAAAAGTAACATAAAAGGTGGCAGAAAAAAAACTCATTCGAAGAATTATCTTATTTTACAAAAAAAAAAATAATTAAAAAATATATTTTTGATTTTGAGGTGCCTAAGTGAGCTTACTTTTTTATTTGCTTAATAGTTCTTTTCCCTTTAATTTTTTTTTTATCTGTCTTAGTTTCTAACGCCATTTGCTTTTGTTATCTTGATTATGCATTTTATTTTTATTTTATAACCGTCGTTGAACAGCCGACCCAATTTCGTGGGTTTACGACTACTTACGTTCAACTCCGTAGCCTTGTAATTTTGAACCAATCCAGAAGACAAGGAAACTCCTGGATCAGTACCCCCAGAGGTTTTGATTTGTTGTGGGAACATGGAGGACTTTGAGACTCGACAGATTTAACGTGCATCAGTCACCATTTACTACACGGGGAGTCTTCGGCCGGCGAGGATCGAACCCACGACCTCTTGGATTTGGGCCCAGCGCCCTACCGACCAGGCTATCCCTGCCCTCTTGATTATGTATTATCAAAAATTTTTATTTTGTGCCTAGCTTAACATAGTCACACCTGGTGGAGATTTCGTCATTAAACTATTCAATTTCTAGCTTACGCAAGCCACACATAAGAACGTGTTAAAACATTTTTCGCCAATTCTGTAAGCATATAGTTTTAATGTCACCATGTTCTTTCACCTATAAATGTTGACAGGTGCAACTCGAACACACCCGTAGCAATTTTAAAGAAAGTAATCATAATTAAAAAGATTTTGAATTGACTATTTTAATATTGTTCATCTTCTTTTAGTTCATTTTTGTAAAGCAGATAAAAGAATATGGAATTCAGAATACTCTAGAATATGAGTAATATATCAAATAAGAATATTAATGGTAAAATATAATATTCGTTAAGAATATAAATAGAAAATAATATTCCATAAGAATAAAAATAATAGAATAGAATAGCCACCGCATTTTTTATTATGTAATCTTATATTATGCAAACGTTCTCTCCTGGAAATCAAGAAAAAGAGTAACCAGTTCAGGCACTGACCATATTGCTAGACTAAAAAGAAGAGAACTTTTGCTGTGACAGGTGACAGCCTTATGAATGTCAGATCTTTTATCAGTTTCAAGAACGACGGGGTATAATTAATTACAAATACCTCAACAATATAAGTTTCATTAGCTCGCATTAGATATTCTAGTCAAAAAAACAAAAAAAAAAAATTCATAAAATGGTTGTTTTACTTAAATTTAACGGAATATTTTTCATTAAATTAATGAAGTATACATTTTTTTGATATGTTTAATAAGATACGTAGTGCCAGTGTCTGATTTATCATAAGACCCGGGAATTTTGAATGTTACTTTTTTTTTTCCTTTAGAATTATCAGCAAACAAAAATTGAAATTAATACATTTTCAATTTATCAAAGTATCAGAATTTAGTTATGTTACAAATCCTTTAAAAGCATTTTGTATATAAACAACAGATAAATTTGATTTAAAGTTACAATGGATAGGGAACTAAATAAGAGTATTTAATTAACTGTCTGATGAGATGTTGCAAGCCCTAAAGCGGATTTCATATAATTAAATCAAGGAGGTTTAATGTATAAACTATACACGTATTACTTAAATTTAATGTTTTTCAATCCAATATTTATTCTTCCGACTTACTTTCCACAGAGTAAAACCGAAAATTTTCTCTCTATAATATTGGTTTGTTGCTTAAAGATTTCTTTCTCCGTATTTATTCTTTATCCACTTGAAAAATAAACAAAACAATGTTGCATTTGGTATTATAGAATGCTTTGCTAAATTGCCAAATATGGGAGCCACTTCACAAAACAACAGCTTGTCTCGCCATCTAGTGAGGAGATCATTCGCCCTTGAGGAAAAGTCTTCTCACTTTTATACAGCGGTATTTAAAAAGGCTTTCCAATCGCAAATAGTCAGGGCCATTTTAAAGACAGGAATTGAATTTGCTTCAATTTTTCGTCTTAGAATTCTAGCCACTTCCACTTGAGTAAGAGAAGAGAATGGTAAATAGCAGTATAAGAGGTCCGGGGTTTTATCATTGCCACTCTGTCTCTGAAGATTGTTCAATAAAAGAGCGTTAGGAGTTAGAACAACGAAAATTATCATAACGGTGCTTAAACGTTTAAAGTAGTTAGAATTGTATTTTTGGTTGAAACATATTTTTATGATGTTATTATATAATAATGACAAGGCTCATTGTTTGGTAACTATTAATGAAGACTCTTTTAATTCATTTTGTTAAAAAAATTCGGTATAACTAGTTTAGTAATAGTGTTAAGTGTACTAACACCAACGGTTTTCCTCTTTTTTAAAAAAAAAAAAAAAAANATATATATATATATATATATATATATATATATATATATATATATATATATATATATATATATATATATATATATATATATATATATATATATATATATATATATATATATATATATATATATATATATATATATATATATATATATATGTAGAGATATATATATATATATATATATATATATATATATATATATATATATATAGATAGATAGATAGATAGACAGATATTTTTTTTTTTAAATTCTTTAAGTTGCTTTTTGCCCAATGATA